CCCCGGAGATTCTTGTGCCTCCCGAACCTCTTCTGCCCCCAGTAGATTTTATCAGTCTTCACGGTCGACGTCCATGGTATCGCCGTATCTGGCGACAATGGACCAGAAGGTGACAACCTTGCGAGAGTGCTTTAAGGAGTTTCTGGCGGTGGAGAACTTGGAGGGGAACAACAAGTGGTACTGTCCTACGTGCAAGGACCATGTGCAGGCGACGAAGAAATTTGATCTGTACAGGTTGCCGAGGATTTTGGTGATTCACCTGAAGCGTTTCCAGCAGGCGGGGTACCGCATCCGCTCGAAGATCTCAGCGCAGGTGGACTTCCCATGGCGGCACGATGACCTATTGGACCTCACGGACCTGTGCCAGTCGCCGCTGGCCCGGTACCGATTGTTCGCCATATGCAATCACTTTGGTACACTCTCTGGCGGACACTACACCGCCCGCGCCAAGTCGTTGGTGGACGGGAAATACGTTTGGCACAAGTATGACGACTCGCACGTGACCCTGCTTGGTCGTGAAGACCAGCTTAACGAAGACGAGCTCGTCAACCCCTCGGCCTACGTCCTCTTCTACGAGCAAGCCTGACTCATCATACTCGGCAACCTATCCACCAAACGCAGCTGGCGCTCGTAAAAGAACGTGTAGACCACAGAGTGTTGGAACCACCCGGCCGCGTAGCACAGCTCGGCCGCCGTGACCGACTCCAGACGGACCGAGTTCTCCCCCGGCCTGTAACGCCCCACTTGTAAACCTGCATAGCAGTTGGGCATCAGAAACAACGCTTCTGATTCACCCGTGAGTAATCCGTTGCCGCCCGTGAGTGCGTCGCTGGGACGCCACATGATGTCCCAGACTCCTCCCTTTGTCTTCTGCTCGAGAAGGGCACGTCGCGGGTTCCGGAGGTCAAACAGTCGCAAATGGTCGTCATAGGACCCAGTCATGCAGAGGTGCTCACCCGCCGACGTCACGCAAGTCACCCCAGCCTGGTGCGCTTTGGCCAACGTCAGCTCACAAGCGCCGGTACGCTCGTCCCACCATTTCACACTCATGTCTTCCGAGCCGGTGGCTATCAGCCGGTCGCGCTCGAAATGGTTTACGCACAAAGCCTCGGCTTCGTGCGCCCGCGCACTCCATCTTTTACGAAAAGACAAATCGGACACCACCAAGTCTCCGCTCATCGACACGGCGCACACACTGTCGTGCCCCACAGTGAGGCCTGTGCCCTCGATCGCCGAGGACGCCGACGGGTCGGCCACCGTAAAAGAACTCGGCGTAGCACTTAGGTCACCACTCAGATCAACCAGCCACAAACGACTCTTCGTGTCGACGCCGTACACATGCTTTTTCGAGGCGTCAAGCTGAACCTCGTATATCCCGGCGTCGACGCACGTCCACTTCTTCCCTAGCTCCAGCTGCTCACCGTCCGTACGGAACAACTGAACGCCCCCAGAATGATCTCCAGCATCAAGATTATAATACGCCAAGCAACCTGCACAAACTAAGTTGTATAATGCCAGTATCCCACGAATGAATTGTGTGACTCATTATCCACCACTTCCAGAATTGTGAGACTCACATCCTCATACTTCGCGCATGCCCCATTGTGAGTCGCACGGACTCCCACCGACCCCCACCGGAAGAATGCGAGCCTCGCAATTTTGCACTGGCAGATGTGAGTCTCACATTTCTCCACTTGCCGAATGTGGGTTTCGGAATTCTGGGGTCACAGAACGTGAGTTTCACAATCCTCCGGTGGCGGCAACGTTAGTTTCACAATTCTTCAGCGCACAACACACCCCTCGGGAAGAAACGGTTGACACATACCTGTATTTGCATCCACGGACCGAAGAGAGCAGCATTGGTTTTTTAACTCTAACATATGATTCGCCGGGTATTGTTGGAATGGCCAACCGACGCAACGAATGCGCAGCCGCCGGAAGAGCTGTTAATAACATTTCCTAGCAGGCTTGTGAAGAAGACACGGGAAGTCGGCGATGAGTTGTACACATTGAAGGACCGATTGCCCCTGACATATAAACGACGAGGTGTGACGGATGAATCGGTGACGGTTTCAGGTGGTGGGAAAAAGCGCGGCATTACTCCCGCGTCGCCGTTGCCTCTGGCGGGTAAGTTGCGAGCAGAGCCAGTTTGTGCAGCGAATGCGATGGAAATCTTGCGCCCGGAGCGGAAGGAGCTACCTTTGGACGAGCAGTTGGAGGAGATGTTGTTGCGAGCGGCGGACGACGACCGGTTTGACGAGTCGATGTTGGCGCAGATGACGAGTCAGTTGAAAATCAAGGCGTGTCGAGAGGACACGTTGGTGGTGAGTGCTGCGCCGGACGACGTGCCTGCGTCAGACAGGTTACGGAACAAGCGCACCTTGGACGGTCGAGACCCGTTGGAGCGCAAGCAGTGTGTTTGGTGGGAGTACGATTTGACTACGGAAATTGCTGAAAGGATCGATAATGAATGGTTCAGGAAAATAAGGAAGTTGGCGGCGAGTGCTGCTGGCGGTCAACGAGTGGTCTTGGACGCTCCGGCAATCCCGTGGTGGCGGGCGTTGCCAGGCTTGATGTTGGTCGTGCCTTCGAAACGCGGCGTGCGGATTGCTGCACACGAAGGCATCGCGCCCGACCTAGGCGATGACGTGTACTACGACGAGTATAAGGACGCCTTTAACGAAGAGTACTCCGATGCTGACTCCATCGACTACGCCGAACGCGATGCCGAGGAGGACCTGCTCCCCGCCAGCAATGAAGACTCTGAGTACGACGGCGGCGGCTGGTTGGACTCCGACAATGAGGATCCGCACCCCGGTTTCGACATAGATCTTTGAGGGCGGGCTTTGCCCCGGTGTTGGTTGCCCTCTGCCCGGGTGTTGGTTGCCCTCTGCCCAGACTGCGCTGTCTGCTATGACTGCTAGGCCTTCACGGACTGTTCAGTTGACTGTCAGGCAGTGCAGTTGAGTGCCAGGCAGTTGACTTCCTTTTGCTTCGGTTCAGCGGACTTCTGCTCGCCGCGTGCTTGTGCGAAGCGCGTGTCTGTGTGTGTGTGCGTTCGTTGTCAGTGTGTGAGTGTGAGGAGGAGGAGCGGGAGAAGGGCGAGAACAAGTCGGGGTGCACCGTGGCTCGCGGCGAAGAGCATATCGGCGTTGGTGTCCGCGGCGAGTGCGCGGGATAGGGAGACGATGCGTCCTTCACGTGCTTTGCCCTGGAGTGCGTCTACAGGCGTGCCTGTGGCCATGAGGAGTTCTTTGACTTGCAGGTTGGTGAGGTGGGGTTGTGCGCTCCAGAGGACTGCGGCGACGCCTGCAGCGATGGGCGAGGCGAAGGAGGTGCCTTTGACGGAGGCGAGTTGGTCGGGTCCGTAGAGTGTGACGATGGAGTCGCCGGGGGCGAAGATGTCGACAGACTCAGCGCCATAATTGCTGAACCAGGCGACCTCGCCGGTCTTGGTCGAGCCGCCCACGGAGAGGATGGAGGGCACGTCGTAAGTCGCAGGTGTGAAAGGGCCCAGCAGCTGCCCGTCTTCGTTTTTGCACGCCCCCGTACCAGTGCTGTCCAGATTGCAGGCATTATTACCCGAGGAACAAACCGCCAGGTGGCCAAGGCGCGCCAGTGCCTCGTGCGCCGTCTTCTCCACCTGCGATGCACCAAAGCCGCCATATGAGTGGTTGCTGAGGCGTACGTTCTTGCGTCCGATGTAGTCCAGCGCACGCACGACACTTGTCATCGTGATACGTTCACGCTCACTGTCATAAATTTTCAGACACATGATCTCGCACTGCGGACACACTCCCGCTATCCCGATGTCGTTGTTCGCCTCTGCTGCTATCAACCCTGACGTCGAACTCCCGTGGATTCGTGTGGCAATCTCCAGCGTCGGATCGGGCTGATCGTTACCGAAGTCATACCCAACACAGTCACCGGTCACCGTCCCCGATGCAGAGTCCTCCTTCTCGCCCACAAACGTATCCTTGGTGCAGCCCCGGGTCTGCGTATTCCGCCAAAACTGACTCACGAGATCGGGGTTCCGGCTGCACCCCGAGTCCAAGACGGCTACCGTCATGCCGCGTGACGCGGTCAATAGATCGGGTAGCTCAAAGTATTCCGTCCCGCCACCATCGGTTAGCCGCCGGTTCGCGGTCCCGGTGGCGTTTTGGTATCCGGCGCCGCGATAGATGACTTGTTCGTCGTCGCCGGAGGCGTCCAGTGGCTCCTTTCCGCCCTGCTGTAGGTCGCGGATGAGGCTGGACCAGCCGTCAACGACCTGGCTGCCGAAGTCCTCTTCCTGCGCGCGTCCTTTCAGGTACCACTGCGCGTCGAAATGCGGGTCATTGGGCGGCACAAAAACGTACTGCGTCGGGCTGGTCTTCTCCCCCACCGCCTGCAGGTCTTTCCCCGGCAACTCCACGGCGTACGTCTTGCCCTCACTCTCAAGTCCACGCGCCGGCCGTCGCTTCAAACTTGCCAAATTCAACACACCCAACGGCTGCTTGATGCGGTCCGGCTCCGCCTCGAATTCCAGACACGGCAGATACGCCGTCAGCGGCTTCAACGCTTCCTTCAGAACCGAGTTCTTCACCAAGTGCATCTCCAAAAAATCCAACGTCTCGAACTCCGTCACTCGCGAAGCCGAAATGTTACTCGTGTCGGATAAACCAACTCGATCTGTGGCAGCCAAAAACTAAATGAACACATCCATCGCCGCCCCACCCGATATTCTCCCCCCCCCCCGCCCCACCCGATATTCCCCCTCGAGTGTGTGCTTACATCGTTGAAAGACTTTTGGTCTCCTTGTTGTTCAAGGTCAAGTAGCTGCTCCGCCTTGTCGAGGCCCACAAGTTGGGAAACGGCGAGGAGGTGGAGCGAGGCAAGGATCTCCTCTTCCCGGTCCGTCGGGTCCATTTCCGCCAACTTGCGGCGCAGGCTGGACCGTTCCATGCGGGATTCGGGACTCAGTTTCCGACGCGCGGCGTCCATGGCGAGTATATGCGCGTCTGCGCTGCCGCCGCCGCTGCTGCTGTGGAAGATGCCAAGGTTGTCGCGCGTGTCCAGCAGCCGTTTCTCCAACAGCTGAGCAAATCCGTCCGAGTCCAGCGCCGCCGGACTCGCACTTTTCACGTTCGTGAAACCGTATCTCCCCACCGCCGGATCCACCTTGAGTAGAGCCTGCTGGTAGTGCTCCGAGAGGTTCAGGTCACTCACACAGCTCCGGTCAAACTTTATGAACATCGTGTCGTAAACTTCCTCAGACTGCTTCAGATCGATCGGGAGCTCCTCGATCTCTGTCACGGGATCTGTAGCACCCGCCCTTGGAGCTGTAGCACCCGCCCTTTGAGCTGTAGCACCCGCCCTTGGAGCTGTAGCACCGGTCTCTGGAGCTGTAGCACCGGTCTCTGGAGCTGTAGCACCGGTCTCTGGAGCTGTAGCACCGGTCTCCGGAGCTGTAGCACCGTCCACCTGCCTTGTGGGGGCAACTGAGGGGTCGGCGCCTGCCGAGTAAGAGGCGAGGCGGTCTCGGGTCGTGTCCTCCCCGGATCCAAACGCCGCGGTCGACTCGTCCTGCAGCGCCCGCCCCTCGGCCTGTAAAGCCGCTGTCACATACGAGGGTAACCACCACGATACGCGCATGCGTCAAAAGAGGGCCGAATAATCTATGACTCTCGAAAGAAACTCGGATGCCGACAATGCAGAACGTGGTCCAGAAAGTGGACTAGAAGGATGCCAGATCGATACGTCTTAGGATACTCTCCCAAACGCTAGCCACACAGACAGTACAGGTCAACGGCAAAGTGAGCAGTACTGAGCAAGCGGGCTGGGAGTGGAAAGAGTCAGATATGATACGTGAAAAATAACTTACTTCAGCCCCCACCCCCCCCCAGCGCGCAAACATGTTCCCTCCTTTTGGACCCTGCTTATAGGCTTCCTGTGTGGATGCTAGTGTGTCTGTCCTCAGCTATAGCTTCTTGCCAGAACAGGTTTTGTGGGCCGTTACGTGTCGGACTAGGTTCCCTGGGCAGCTTTCGGTGAGAGCAAGTCGGTTCTCTCTGGACGCTCCCCTCTGCAGTGGGTTCCCTCCGGTCCCGTCCAGTTCCCTCCAGTCCCATCCAATTCCCTCCGGTCCCGTCCAGTTCCCTCCGGTCCCGTCCAGTTCCCTCCGGCCCCGTCCAGTTCCCTCCCGGTCGGCTGGGTCCTTCGATCCCTTCGGGTCCTACTGGGCGAGGGTGGAAGGGTCGTCATCTTCGTCAGCGCTATTGTGGTCGCCGGTGACGACTTCGTCTAAGTTGCCGGAGGTGTCTATGGCGGGTGCGTCGGGGTCAATTGCATTCAAGACTGTTTTCATGGCGCCGACGACCAGTGTGCCGCCGGCAGTGCCGCCTGCGATGAGGGTCACTATATTTTCCACAGTGAGTGTCTTCTTGCAGGTGCAGCCGTTTATATCTGTGTACTGGTATTCGTACTCCGTGTACTCCGTCCAGTCCTCTTCCGCCTCTGCGCCGGAAGCTTCTTTCTGGTCCGAAGCTTCGGCCGCCGGAGCCGTCCAGCTGAAGCTCTGCCAGCCCGCGGCATTCTTCCCCACCTCAGGTGCGGGCGTGGTGTAAGGGTAGAGTTCCGGCAGCACGGCGCCGCCCCTCGTGGGAAGATCTTTGAAAACCTCGCAGAAGGCCGGCTCGATCGGCTCGCCGCCCATCGGGATCAGAAAGTCGTAGACTTGCGGCGGCGCCCAACGGCTATTCCAACCGGGACACTCAGGGTCGTAGACGCAACTCGTTTTCTGGACACCGTCGCCTGTCCGCAGAGGTGTGAAGTATGGCGCAGTCTCTATCGTCAACGGCACCGCCGACTGCAACCAGCGGACATGATGACCAGGTTCCCGCTTGTAACGTCAGGGCCGTTGACTGGCATGTAACGCCACGGCCGTGACTCGCAGGTAACGTCAGGGCCATGTGTCGATTATTCCATATAACCATTTGACACACACAGGCACACACCACGTGCATTCGGGCAGGCACGTGCATTCGGGCAGGCACGTGCATTCGGGCAGGCACGTGCATTCGGGCAGGCACATAGGCGACTGAGTTGGGGGGGGGGAGGAGGAGCGTTGGACTTACTAGAGCCGCCATTGGCACACCGTACACCGTGCTGTACGTAGCCAGATCTCCATTGTTGTCAACCAACATACTAAAAGAACAAAGTAAAAATCAGTAAGGCAAACCTTTGGTCTTGCCTTACTGATTTTGTTCAGATAAGAAAGATGAAAAAAATCCCGTCAAAAAAGTCCGTCCACATCACAGCAGGTACCTGTAAGCACCGTAAGCCGCAGCCCCGGCAGCCATCACTCCCCCAACAACTGACACAGAAATTACGGCAGCTTTCTTCCCTCCGTTACCAGACTGCACCTGACCCCGTGTCGACTGCCACGGAGCCGTGGCACGAGTGCTCATCGTCTTACGAGTCGTCGTAGCCGGAGGCGTCGTCGTACTCGTAGAGGTCGACGTTGCCGTAACGGTACTCGGAGAGGTACTAGTGGAGGTCGATGTCAAGACACTCGTGGAGGTCGACGTTGCCGTAACGGTACTCGGTGAGGTACTAGTGGAGGTCGATGTCAAGACACTCGTGGAGGTCGACGTGGCGGCACTCGAGGAGGTCGATGTTGTCAAAGTAGTAGTGGTTGAAGTGGCAGTCGTGGTGGAAGTCGGTATTGTCGTGGTGCTGGTGGTAGTGGTAGCCGGTGTAGTCGAGGTAGTAGCGGTGTTCGGTGTAGTCGTGGAGCTGGCGGTGGTGGTAGTCGTAGTGCTGGTGGTAGTGGTACTGACTGGAGTCGTAGTGGTAGTGGTTGCGGTAGTCGGTGTTGTCGTGGAGCTGGTAGTGGTCGTCGGTAAGGTGGTGGTGGTAGTGGTAGTGGTGGTGGGGGAAGTCGCAGAGGTAGTAGTGGTGGTAATAGGTGCACTGCTGGTTGTAGTAGTGCTGGTGGTCGCGGTAGTGGGGGGAGTCGTAGAGGTAGTGGTGGTGGTAGTAGGTGCACTGCTGGTTGTAGTGCTGGTGGTAGCGGTAGTGGGGGGAGTCGTAGAGGTGGTTGTAGCGGTAGTGGGTGTAGTCACGGACGTGGTAGTGGTGGTAGTGGGTGTAGTCGTGGACGTGGTAGTGGTGGTAGTGGGTGTAGTCGTGGACGTGGTAGTGGTGGTAGTGGTAGTGGGTGTAGTGGTAGTCGTAGAGGTGGTAGTTGAAGGCGGGTCGTAGCAGGTGCAGTCTTCTTCCTCGAAGATTTGGTCGTACGTGAGGGCATCGTTCATGGTACCGATATCGGTGTCCTCGTACCACTTCCCGTAGCCCCAGAGAATCGTGTCGCGAACGAGCGCACTGGGGTCGGTTTTGAACTCTGATGTGTAGGTGTAGAGATCTGCAGCCAGGCACTCGACTGCGAGCATGGTCTCAACTTGTAGGAGGTCGATATCGAAGTGGAAGAAACGCCCTTGTCTCTGAGGATTGGTGTCGAAGAATATGGACCAAGTTATATGGCCAGCGAGAGCGGTCTTGGGATCCTCACCGTCTAGACAGTTGTCTTGTAAAAACGGTCCATTTCCGTTTTCGCGAATGGGTGCGCCTATGTCCCAAACGATACGGTCCCGGTGGATGGATTCCAACTCGACATAGGGCGCATATAAAGCGCGCAAGTAGGCAAAGTGCATTCCCATTCTGCGCCGAAATTCCCAAGGAGTAGGTCCCGGCCACGGGATCGGCATCGACCCGTCCGCGTTCGTAGTCTTGAACACGTAGTCTTCCAGACAACCCATGTCGCGCGACCAAATGTGCTTTTCATCTGGCATAGCGTGAGACAAGGGGGCGTGAGGGCAGGTTCCCATCAAGAATCCATCTGCCAACATGGCAGGTAGTCCCATAATAGTAAATAGAGTAGTAAACATAGTTGGTTGTATTCCCAATAAGATAAATAGCTGTACAAACAAAAGTAAAGTGCTGTATAAAGTGGTACTCAAATGCTTTAGTAGGTACCCTTGTAGATATTCCCTGATTATGATGCTAATGAACACCCGGTAGCTGCAGTCTCTCTGTGTCCTTCAACTGCCCGCTCTCTGATCTGACTGATGCTCTGTTTTGCGCCGGGTTTCCTTGCCGAGTTTATTAGCTTGGTTTGGTCTTCTTGAATTAGAACGAGCTAGGTTGCGCGCCGAAGGTAATTTGTTATAAATAAAAACGAGCGCTCTATCTGAGGTGATACTTGCCGTCGCCGCCTCTGCCAGCAAACCTCCTTGGTAGTCAAGTTGTGAGCGGGTTGGAAAAATTGCATGAAGGTATTAGTGGCCTTAATGTTAACCACCCACGTCAAGACCCTGCCACCACCCAACGGCATCCCACCAACCATTGTATGCGGCGCATACCATTTGTTCTCCAACTACTGCACGAATTCTGAATCATATGACAAGGCTGAATTCATTGATAAGATGAATGCATGCCCATTTGAATACCGAGCCGTATATACCACCGAAGGCGAGAGTACCACTCTCACCTTTCCTGTCATCGATGGAAAGGAATTCAAGCTGTCTAATATATGGGATATCGACTACGTAATACTACCCGCCGACCCCACCCCCGACAATACTAACTACTTCAACATGATCTTTTCATTCCGTCCTGGCAGAGGTACGGGACTGCCTATTCTTCTGCGAGGGTCAGGCCAACGCACATACGCTAACCAACCCATATACGAAAACAGCTGTTTCTACTTCGAGTATTTAGGTAACGCAGGTGTCAGGCCCTGAAATTCCGAGCGCCCACGTGTGTGCACACACGGGTGCTAATATTTTTGTACCATTCATTGACCATCGGGAACTGGACCAAAGGAGGGGGGGGGGGGAGGAACTGAACCAAAGAGGGGAACTGAACCAAAGAGGGCAATCTGACTGGCCGATTGGAATTGACTCCTCGAATTTCACAAGAGCAGGTGGATATTAAAAATGATAAAAAAAAGATTCCGCCACTAGGTGGCCCATTGACTGGCTGTCGGTCACTAGCATTGAGCATTACTGAAGGTTGATCACAGTGCAACATGGCTGTTGTGGTTCTTATCCAGGTTCATTGAGTGTTCCAGTATTTGCTGCAATTCTTTCTTATGAATATTTGTGTCGCCAGTGGCGGGAGCGGCTGACACGTTTCTGCCTGCGAAGGTTATGGTGCAAATCTGATGACCAAGGTGTTTCAGTAAAGTCTCTACGCGGGGCTTCGCATATGACCAGGCACCCATGTTCATTGGTTCCTCCTGGCACCAGACAATTGATCTTAAGTACGGTAGACTGGTTATATCCTCGGCGATTTGGTCGAATGGGAAGGGTGAAAGTTGTTCCACGCGGCCTATCATTACTTCATCTGTCATTCCACTATCCTGCCGGGCCTTTACTAAGTCATAATAAACTTGCCCCGAGCACAAAATTAATCTCTTAACGTTCTCACGCTTACGTGATTGAGCGTCCTTTCCACTGGGATTAACTCCGATTTCGGACGTGTATTTCATCTGTGGAGTGATGAAGGCTGGATCAAATATGTATCTCGAAAATCTAGTGTTTTCCGCCATATCCATCAGATTGCTCGATGACTCCTTGAGACGGAGCAACCTCTTCGGTGAGAACACTACAAGGGGTTTCCTAAACCCTCGATGTATCTGTCTTCTAAGCACGTGAAAATAATTTGCAGGAGTGGTCACATTGCACACCTGAATATTGTGCCTTTGCACAACACTACGACGATTAATGTCCCATACCTCTTGATGAATGGTGTCTTCCGGATCGTCACACATCTGGAGAAAACGTTCAATACGACCACTCGAATGCTCACTTCCCTGACCATCGTAGCCATGCGGTAATAGCAGAGTTAACCCGCTCGGATGGTTCCACTTCACCTCACCCGACACCAGGAACTGGTCTATGATAACCTGCGCTCCATTGGCAAAGTCCCCAAACTGAGCTTCCCATATTGGCAAAATGAACGGACTCTCCAGAGAGTAACCGTACTCAAATCCCAGACACGCGAACTCAGACAGCAAAGAATTCCCTACCGCAACTGTTCCGGTCTCACCAGCTTTACTCTGGCCCTTCGGTAAGTTGCCTTTCAAGTACTGTGCGTAAGCATCCAGGGGGAAGTAATCGAGCCTTGGGTCCACCTGATCCTTAACCACCGCGTGACGGTGACTGAACGTGCCTCTTTCGCAGTCCTGACCCATGAGCCTGATGTGGACTCCGTCTTTTATTAGGGTGGCGAAGGCCAACGCCTCGGCAAGACCAAAGTCAATGCCCTTACCCGACTTGATACACTGAAGCCTCTGGTCATACACACGTTTGATGGTTGAATGCGGCTGCAGTCCCTTGCCACTGGGGAGGGTAGAAATGCACGTGCCGATGTCAACCAGTTCGTTCAGGCTGACACCAGTGATTCGGGGCCGGCTAAATTCGTCGGGGAGGCATTGCGTCCTCCACTCGGGGTTGAAGGGCCTGAGATGGGGCGTGGGTTTATATGTCTTTGCCTTCTCAAAGGACTCGATGAACTCCTGCAGGATCTTCTGCTGCAGTTGGTTGGCTTCTTCTTGTGTAATCACTTTGTCGGTGTGGATCAATTGGCGTAAGTAAAGGTCCATCAGGTTCTCGTGCTTGCCGATGGCGTCATACAGCAGCGGCTGTGTAAACTTGGGCATGTCCAACTCATTGTGGCCGCTGCGGCGGTAACCGATCACGTCCACGAACACGTCCGAGTGGAACTTCTGCCTGTACATCAACGCGATCTCCATTACGCGCGAGATCGCCTCCGGGTCGTCGCCGTTCACATGGAAAACGGGCGCCTCGATGCACTTCGCCACATCCGTACAATAGTTTCCGCTCGCACCGTCCCCCGGGTCAGTGGTGAACCCGATCTGGTTGTTGATCACCACGTGCACTGTCCCACCTACGCTGTACTTTGCCAAGTTCGACATCTGACACGTCTCGTACACGACGCCCTGACCCGAAATGCTAGCATCGCCATGCACTATCACAGGCAACACACGACGGAACGAATCCTCGCGGCTCCCACCGCCCCCCACACTCACAGCACCCGCCGCCTCGCCCTTACCACTAACGCCCTTCACACTCGCAGTGGCGCCGGCCACACTCATCTCGTGGGCGACGCGCGCCTCCGTGACCGAGCCAGTCGTGGCGGGTGAGTGACGCGTGCCCTTGCCGTACGCAATGAGATCCTGGCGAGCACGTGCCGTGCCCAGACAGACCGGGTCCACAGCCTCGAGGTGGCTAGGGTTGGGGAGCAACGTGTAGAGAATGTCCTTCTGCACGTCGGGATCGGTAACGATAATCTCCGCACCCATGTGGTACTTGACGTCGCCGCTGTTGCCCCAAGCCGCGCCTCCAAACCCGGTGTGTCCCATGAACTCACTGAACACCTGTGACTTGGGCTTGCGCATAATGTTCATCAACGTGTTCAGCCGTCCGCGGTGCGCCATAGACACCACCACCGACTCCACGCCGTGCAAAACGCCGCACTTGAGCAGCTGCTCCAGCCCCACGACGAACCCCTCGCAGCCGTCCAGTCCGAAACGTTTGATTGTCCCAAACTTGGCTGCAGCGAACTGCTCGAAAATCACGGCGCGCATCACGCGGTCCAAAATCAACAACTTCTGCGCACGTGTGTAGCAGTAGCGTCGCGGCAACTCGAGCTGTGACCGTAGCCAGTTTATCTTCTCTCGGTTATGGATGTGCAGGTACTCTACGCCTATGTGTCCGCAGTAGATCTCCTTGAGGCGCTTGTACAACTCACCAATCGACCACGTCTCGTCTCCTTCCTCCTGCTCTTGACGCCGGCTGGTCGGCAGCTCGGCCACATGGACGCCCTGCCACTCACTCCTCGTGTCAGACTTCAGCTCGCCCAACAGACCCGCCGTCTGGGGCACCGAGACCGACACCTTCTGATCCCAGTCGGTCTCTCTGTTAAAGCCGAAACTCTCGAACGTGTTCTCGCACTGCTTCCGGTTCCGATCTCGCATCACCGACGTGTGCGGGTACCCTCGATCACACACACTCAACGGGTCGGTTTCCGCGTGGTAATGTCCCAACTTCTCAAAATACCGCAACATCGCCACCACCTTCGTCACCAAGTCCGCAGCCACACCGTCGTCGTGATCCACCAACGCCGCCAACGGTTTGAAACCACTCGCCCCTTCGGGCTTCGCATTGTACACAGGTTTAGACCCGCGCTCCACATTAGACCCGGCCTCGCCGCCGGCGGACACTTCCGCGCTACCATCCACCCTCATGCTCTTCTGCTCCCGCAAACCATCCTTCGCCAACGAACTAGTTAAACTTCTACCAGCTATCAAACACCGATCACCCAACCATCGTCCGATTGAAGTGAACCCCAATTGGTCTGCCCCAATTGGGCTGTTAAGGGAGGGGAGGGGAGGGGAGGGG